GGGCTAGTGAATGGTTACCTTTAGTGGTTAACAACCCTATACCGGGAGTGGTGTTTTGTTGAATGGACTGACTTAAATTTTTTTGAAGTGCCTCCAATTGTTCTTTGGTGAAAGGAGATGACTTTGATGTGTCCCCTTTTTCTTCAACAACACTTGAAGGAGTAATGGCCACATTTCCATGAGTTTCTTTGTCTTTCCATGATTTTGGTTTCCAATCAGCAGGTTTTCCATAAAGTTTCCAACATGTTTCTCGATAATGTCCAGATTTACGATAATGTTCACACCATGGTCGTCCCTTCTGTTGTCCCCGGGCAGCAAGAGCAGATGAATCTTGAGTTGACGGATTAGGGGAAGCACCAAGCATGACCTTTTTCCTACTCTTTTCCTGTCGAACCTCTGAGAATGCTTCCTTAACATGAGGAAGAGGCTTAATACTCATGATCCTACTCCTGAATGCATCAAGTTCTTTATTGAGTCCATGAAGAAACTTGAAAGTTCTCCTTTTCTCAATGATATTCTGGTATAGAGTAGTGTCATCAGTACACTTCCAGGAATAAGTTTCAAATAGATCTAGCTGCTGCCAATACCGAGTAAGAGTGTTAAAGTATTGTGTGACAAAGGTGTCGTCTTGGCGGAGGTCATAGAGGGCAGCTTCAATTTCGAAAATTTCTAATGTATTTTCAGAACTGGAGTAGGATTCTTTGACAGCATCCCAAAGTTCTTTTGCAGTCGGATATAGAAGAAAGTTTTCTCCTATATCATTATTCATAAAATTAATCAGCCATGACTTAATCATGTGATTATCAGCCTTCCATGTTTTGTACTTTGGATCATCTGATTTTGGAGTCTCAATCTCTCCAGTAAGATATTCCTCCTTTCCTTTTCCACCAATATACATCATCACAGATTGTGACCATTGAAGAAAGTTATGGCCATTAAACTTGTGACTGGTAACAAGAGATACGACTTCATTACCGTGAGAGGATGAACCAGAGATGTTGAGGTTATTGATGGTAGAAGGTTGTGAAGAAGCATCTGATATGAGACTGCTTTTTTCATGAGCCATGAGTTCTGTTGAAGAAAGAGAAGGCTAGAACAAAGATTGTTGGAAGAGATGAAGGTGAAAAAGAGGCTTCTAATGCTCTGATACCATGAACCTTTTGGAATGAATTGATTTTTTTTCAACAGAACAAAAATGCCTATTTATAGGCAGATTACATAGGATATCCTAGCTGTACAATCAATGTTAATTCCTGTAAATCAGGGATTGTACCTAACATTCAGGGATTTACAATAACTAAGATTATTCAGTAATTAATACACATAAATCTACACTTTTTTGTATATTTTATTTTCAAAGATAATTTCATTATTTTCAAAAGTGGTTACAATACTTAGCGTTTTAAGTCATTCCATAGAATCAAAATATCGGGTTGTCACATTTGATACTAGAAATATCATTTAAATGTAAACATTTAGATTTAAATGATCTTTAATTGAAGTTATGGAATATTTATCCATAAGGGTATTTCGGGAAAAGTATTGATAGTTACATGAAGATTTATATATAAGAAGTACATGACATTCATGAATATGAATTGATACTTTAGAGATGATATCGGAACATAAACATGAAGGGATTCTAGTGAATTTATAGCTTGTTAGCTTATGTACTTACAATGAGATCAATGGTGGGTTTATATAATTTAAAACTTGCATATGGGTATTAAATGAGTTAGGAACAAACTATGTGAGTTTTAGAATTTGCAATTAGAAACTAGACTAATTAACCCTCCAATTAAAGCTTAAGGATCATCATGATCTTAAAGGTTTCAATGAGCACTTATTGTATTAATTGGGGTGTATTTCGATGATAAAACACTTCCTAATCATGTGTGAGAACCTATACAAGTTGGGAAAAAGTGATTTGGAAAAGGGTGTTCAAGACCTATGCAAAGTAGAGCGTTATTTTTAGAAAACTCGAGTTGTGTGTGTGGCCATAAAAATACGGCCAATGGATATTTCTTACGGGGTTTGAGGATCATTAAACAACATTAAAGGGACATCACAAGAAATAATTTTAATCCTCAATAGGCCCAAAAATCGGTTCCATGAACAAGCTATCTAATGCAACTTGATTATGCAATAAACCATACCTTTTAGGGTTTGTAGAAACCCTTGTAGATTATCAACTGAATGATGAGAGCTAAGAGTCCAATGTAAAGCTCCTCTTTCATAGTTGCACCCAAGGCACTTTAATTAGAAACACCCAACAACAACCGATCCATCAAATACCTTGAACAAAGGATCCAAGAATCCGATTATGCTATAAGCAACAGCGCCACGTCGTGGCCATTAAGCATCCGCTGTGTGGAAACTGGCATCTGGCGGTTTTGGGAATTATGAGGTAGGACCGAATTTTCTCTATATATTTTTGAGTTTTCTCATTATTTAAATTCATCCATATGCCTCTTTATTTATAGGGAAGGATAGATAACCCTAGAAGATAATTGGAACCAGTCCTAGAACCGGCGGTCCCGATTCCAAGAATGGGTAACCTAGTTATATCAATCTTATTTTACTTTTATTAGTAAAGCCACAGTTTAGTTTGGTCCAAATCGAATCAATTCAGATTAAAGATAGACAAAATCGGACTAATATATTCCAAATATTCCGGTGGGTACCCAGCGGGTAGCGGTTCCGATGCTCATCCCTATAGTTATCTAATCTCCTAATAATTATCCATATAATTTGTAATTATCTAATTGGTTAAACAATCATCTTTTATCCTCTAGAACTTCTAGATTTCATGTAACTAATTAAATACTATTATTAATTAGCAAATCAAGTCCCTATAACCTTCCCATTCTCATTTATTTCTTATTTATGTCCTTGCATGTAACCCAAAGGGACCCTACTATTAATAGTAATATTACCAAATGTTGTAATTATGTTGTAATGATGGGCACCATTCTCCATTACTCCCACTTGCACAAGTTACCAACATTATATGGTCTAATATTTACTAGTAATGATTAGAGAGCATACAGTCAAATGTATCTGCCATATTCACAACATTGAGTCATGAAATTTCCCTTAGATAAATGATCAAATATTCCTCTATTTCTTCAAGATATATGTATGAACATGACACATTGATACAGTCAATCTCAAACATTCAAGATTCTATTTCCTGAAACTGACGTGTGTCAATGAAAAGCAAAATGCATAATTGATCTATCAATTCAATTTGAGCACGACCATGCATTTTTAATTCAACAACAAATCATCAAGGGCCCCAAAGATATCAACCCCAGCTATCTAAAGACGAAGTGAACAAATAATCTTTGACTACATAGACTCCACCTATTCCTCATTTCATATCTAGCCAACCCTATATGATTGCTATTTACGAACAACGTTGGGGAAAAACCATGACACAACAGGTTTTAGGACAAAATATCATGCGTCTCCATTTGAAGAATAGATTATATTACCATATTAGAATTACTTGTTATAGAATCCATGAAGTAATCTCCTAGTGTGGGTTACTCCAATACCTTAAAAATCTCCATTTAAAGTACTCTTGAGTATTGGTCGCAAACTTTGTTATGTTCATCCCCATGAACAATTTACCAATGCTCCATGAGAATCTTAACTTACTACTTTGTTCTAGGAGTAGGAGCGATTGTGGAAGTTTGAATAAATTAATACTCTGGAAGTGGTTTTAAACATGCAAAAGTGGAACAGAATAATAATCTAAATGAAATGGCCGAACTCCGTTCAAATTTTAAGTTCTCCACTTAATAATCCTCATACCTCATAGAAACCATAATTGCACTAGCTCTTAAATTAAAACAAACTAAAATAAAGTACTCAAGTTAACACAAATGTAATTCTAGTACCATTAGATCTTTATGTAAATTTATTTTAAAGGAATGAATCAACAAGATTTTGTTTAGTTGACTATGATGTCCTTACGAGTACTTATTGAGTATTTAACATGTGATATTATATGAATTGGGACCTTTGCACAAGGTAAAGTCACATTTTAGTCACAAGAAACTTCAAGAGGACCATCAATGATTGAATACAACACTTGGGTCACTAATGAATTTCATTTAGTCGCATAGTTTGTCTTTGCAATCTAACTAACTTTAATATACTCCAAGCTTATTATTAAATACACTTAGGTGCATTATGTAGTACTCTTCCAAGCTAATAATCTATTATTTATTAAGAGCATGAACTTCAACTATGTGAGAACAAAGATCTGGTAGCATAGGAACAAGGTTTCAAAACTCAAACCTTGAGTTAATTCTTAAGATCAATGTTTGCTTCTGATTAAGTCTTTGATTCAACTCTGGTAAGACCATACGATACTGAAGATGAAAATCAACAAAGTACTTCAAGTATTAAATATGGAACAATGAGTACAATCAAGGTAAAGATAATAAATGAATAAGTAGAATGTTTGAAAGACTTTGATTTGAGGGAAAAGTGAAAGTGAAGTAAATTCAAATATAACTATCTATGGAGCAACAATACATCATCTATTCTTGTCATTAAACATTCCTTATATAGGAAAAGGAGGTACAACTTACAAACAAAAATGCATATAAAGGAATGGATAAACAAGTTACATCTGAAACTCTGATTATCCAATTTGACAAAAAGACTTAGTCCTATGTAAGGTTACATCCAACAAAAAGACAAGAATAATAATGCTCCATATAGTCTCAGATTAATTCTCCATCTCAGACCACTTTCACTCCTGACACAAATTCCATTTCTAACCAAAAGCTTATTTCTTACCTCAAAACACCTTAGACTCAAAACTGGCTTCAAATATTCTTGGAGTGATTTCTAGAGGTTCACTTTCAGGTTCAAACAATCTCCCCTTAAGTGAACTTAGCAATCATGTCAGCTCAGTTCGACTCTTCCTTGATAAGCACGTATGCCCGATATAGCCAATCTCTGACTTCTTTGTATCACTGAAACTAACATATAAAATTAGCTTTCAGATGTTCTGGTGCCTCAGACTTTGATGCACGATTGATAAAATTCCGAAGGGCCTTGGTGAGAACCAGATGTTTGTCAAGGACTCGGAAGAAGTCCTTCTTGTTTGTTTTCAGAATAAAGCACAACAGCAGCTTGGGAATGTGAATGTACCATAAGTTACTATCAGAGAAGCACTTGAGATCTTCCTTACTGTTGCCCTTGAATTTGGTCACCAAGTCCAATATGAACTCGAGACGGGATGTAGGATACAAATGTTTGTCAGGAAGAGAGATGCAAGATGTGCGAAAGTCAGCTCCAGTTTGTTCCCTAGACTGATACACTACGAACCATCATTCTTTATAAATCTTTCCTAGCTTTAGCTTTTTAAAATCCTTCGGAGCTTCTTTAGGAACAACAAAAGGTTTCTTTCACAGTACCATAGCTATCTCGACATCCATGTCACCAATCTCTTAAATGTGAGACTGCAACATGTTTTGGAGATGGGACATGATAGGTTCGTACTTCTCCTTCTCCTTTAACAACATGTTATAGATTACGATGTAGTCATAAGGATTCAGACAAGGCAAGTTTGCAAGTGTGAATTCGTACACCTAACTTGTTGAACCTCTCGCTATTTTAAACTCTGCGTTAGGAAAGCTATTAGTATCGATTAGCCCTATGACTTTCATAACAGTTATTTTGCTAGCACACCAAGTTTCATATTGGGGCTTCATGTGCTTCAGGTAGAAAGAAAACAACATATGGTCTGCTCCATTGTCTGTGATTGGAGCTTTTACAATTTTCACAAAAGCACGAAACCTGAAGGCCTTGGGAATGATTGGTATATCCAATTGTGAATCTTGTGTGTTTTTAAGATCAAACGATACAACTAGCTCTAACTAATATTGGATGGGAAGATCAAGAACATCATGCTGGATTCTCTTCAAGGTCTAGTTGGGAAATAAAAGCTTTCTGCTTTGAAGTGTGGCCTATGCTTCTTTACCAACCCTTTCTTTCTTCAGCTTCACGGATGATTCGGTTATTCTCATCCAATTCGGCTTCACAGGTCTTTCGTCTTTTGAGATCATCTTCATCGAGCTCTTCTTCACTTTTACTATTATCAACGATGGGCTCATTACCAAACAGTTTTTCCTTGCCCTTACGTTCTTATTTGACAACTGGTTTGGTTGGAGCTTTAGGGCCTTCTTTTCTTGTCATATCAGTTGACCCAACTTCTCCCCCTTGTTTTGGAACAAAGGTTTGATCTGAAACACCCTGCAGTCTATGAAGCGTTGTGAAGAACGGCCTCAACTTCTCATTTAGATGCTTTCAGATAGATATGGTGATCATGGAGTCTCTTATTTCAATGACATCTGAGAGTAAGCCTGTAATATCAGATATACAACTTTCGTCATAACGCTCTCAGTGAGCAAAACTTGAACCTATTTCTCAGCGTTGTCGAATTTAACAGAGAGAACTTCACTCTTTCAGTTTTGATGGCAAGAGAATCCATAATTTTGCTTTCCATTGGCAGTTCTTTTTGAAGGTGGGAAATCTGAGAAGAAATGCAGGTTTGAAAGGCTTCGTGATCAGACTGGAGACCGGTGTTAATCTCTTGTAACTTAGCCTTCTCGATTTTGAAGAGAGAACGCAGAATTTGCATAGATTCATTGTCATTCTTTGTATTACTATCAAAGGTAGTCTGGAAGTTCTCCATGAACAAAGTGGTCTCAGAAATTAATTTATCGACTTTCTCGTTCGTCATCCTGTGAACTTTAGTAGAATCATTAACAACCTTATTTATCTTTCTGCATTGGCCATATGATCTTTCGTTATGTGTTCAAATAGAGACTCAATTGTTGCTTTAGAATAAGCATCAAAAGATGATGCCTTTGAAGTGAGAAGCATTTGGTCTATCTTTTCATGCATGGACTTCAATTGCTCTTTCGTAGCAAATGGCTCATCCTCACTTTCAGTCCTAATTTGGAGGGACTGTAGGTGAATCCTCCGAGAGATTCATCAGTATTATCATCATCCCTGAAGACCATATCTGGATCATCTGGGAAAATAAGGGAAATTGGAGATGAGACATGGGTTGAGAAACCTGATGTCTTAGCCCCCGTATCAGATATGTTGACCGAAACAGGAGGTTTGGTGATGGTGGTTGGTGGGACATTCGAATCTGTGAACAAAGGAGTAGAAAGAGGAATATTGGTTTGTTTTTGTGAAGAAACTGGTGGAGGACAAGGTGCAATAGTGATTGGGGTTGTAGTCATTTTAGGTGAGGGAGGAGGAGAAGGAACAAAATCGTTAAGATGTTGATTTACCTCAGGATTTGATATCTGTTCTTCGTTGTGAAGGTTATCATCCTCGTTGCGAACATCCTTGTCGTGAACTTCCTCGTTGTGAGCTTCCTCGTTGCGAACAGGATAATCCTCCTCTATGCGAATATCTGACTGAGTATCAGACTCATCTTCGCTTTCACTTGGTGTGGGGGTCTTTCGCTTGTGAGCGGGCTGTTTTCGCCTTTTAGGAATAGCAGTTGAGGTGTTCATTGGTGCCTTTCGTTTGGGTGGAGGTTTGACAGTGACACATGTACCTTCCTTGACAACAATTTTATTTTCGCATTTCTTTGCATCTTTTCCCCCTTTCTTAGGTTTGTTAGCCTCATCAGTTATTGCTTGCATTTGTAGAGTAAGCTTGTGATAACCTTCCAGAATCTTGCTAGAGACATGTACGTCACGAAACATAGCCTCTGGAATGGAACCGATGAACAAAAATTTTGAGTTATCAGCCACAATGTTGGCTGTTGTGTGGAATGTTGACATAGTAAAAGTGAGAGCATCCTGAATCATTGGAATATTGAGCTTGACGACGACCCTTCGAACAATAAGAGACCAGAACCGTGCACATGAAATTTTGCTGTGATGAGTCGTTGAGTGTGTGCTCTTAATCACTTAAGCCCAGAGTACCGCTCCAAAATCAACATTCAAATCTGTATAAATGCCATAGAGTATAGTCAAGAACAACTTACTGGCATAGTCGGAACCTGTAACCCTTTCTGAGAACCCTTTGAAAAGAAGAGTAAATAGAGCGTTCCATTGTGGGGGTAGAGTAGGTTTCTAGAATTTTGAGATGGTAGTTAGGGTCTCCTTGTAACCCATTTGATAGAACTTCTCAAATAGAACAGGATTAGAGATGGATTCCGGATTGATCATCCCTTTAGGTTGAGGAAACCCTATAAGTGAACAAAATATGGTTTTTGTGATTGAGGTTTTCTGATCATGAATGTCAAAGATGATTTTTTCCCACCTTAATAGAACTTGCAGAAGAGTACGCCTTGGACAATAGGGTTATCGGGACATCCTCCATCTTTGTTAGAGCATGAACCAGTGGAGAATACTTGAGGCACTCGAAAATCGGCCGGAGATAGGGCTCATATTTGTAGGGTTCTATATCGACGATCATTAACTGGTTGGGTTTGACGGTCAGAAGAGTAGAGTGAGCAGTTTGATCATGAACATATGATGAGGCAGCCATTGTTGAAGCTTGAGAAAGAAGATGAACAGTTGAAGCTTTGATCTCCAGAAATATTTTGAGAGGATTCTAAAAGTGGTAATGAGAGAGAAACCATCAAAACCTTTATATAACATTCGATTTGTGAGAAAAATCGGAAGAGAGAATTCATCAGGTACTAAAACATCGCCTGAAAAAGCGTGACTTGGCAACTATAAATGTCAGACCCGTGCGTCATACGGCTGTAAAGTAGCTGTCGATTCAAATCTTCACGTGACCATTTGAATTCTTATCATCAGGAATTTCCACGTCAACATCAACCTTTCACAGTTAAACATTCTTTGACCCATCCATTATGAACATTCATTTTTAGAAAACTTGGGTTAAACCGCGAACCTGAAAGTAACATTAAGAACCAAGAACAAAACTTTTGGAAAATCTCAAGGACTCTCGTGCAAGAGTGTCAAAGATAAATAAATAAATCAAAATATATATGAGTAATTTCATGATGTATATATAAAGGCACAAAAGTATTGATCACGGGCATAGATTGTTGGATTTAGTGTCTATGCCCATAACTATAATTGGGATGTACTTAATTCGATTATAGCATGGTCCTTCTGAGTTGCCTTCATCAATGCAATTTGATAGGATGGACTTTTGAGAATAAGGTTATTTTTGATTTCTTAATATATTATAAGTATAATATATTAATTGAGAAATCATATTATTTAGTATTGATCAAGAATTAGTTTGGAATTAATTTTATGATCAAAAGAGGCTGATTAAATATAAGAGGTAAGTCATCTAACTAGTTGTATTGTTCATTTGACAATTTGTATGCTACTTAAGAGAATGCTTTGGAAAATAAAAATGCATGTATAATTAGAGAAAACATAGATCCAAAGCATTTAGGGTTGCATGTGCACTTAGGAAATGTGATAGTGCTCAAAACCCAACAGTGGTATCAGAGCCTAGGATTGTTTTCTATTATAGTTATGCTAACTAATTGTCCAAAGTTGGAAAAGTCGAAAAACTGCACTCTGACAGGGGGACTCAACGAGTCCTTACATGAACTCGCGGAGTTCATGCCCAAATGTGTTGAACTCGTCGAGTCCAGTATCTGGCTCGATGAGTTGGACATGTAGTGGGCAGTTGTTCGGGGTTTTTGGCCTGTTTTGGATTAGGAACATTACCACAAACTGTGATGGTTCATAAAAATTGTTTTTTAATGATATGGTAGTGTTAATCCCCATCCAATAACATGATATTTGTCAAATTCTAAGATAACTACTTGTTTTGTGTAATGCTAGTTATTTGTATAATTTGAAGATATGAATCAAGTTAGGTCAAATTGGTAAATGATCATCCTATCATAACTGGATTAGTTAATTTGATCAATGATTGTTTCTTGAATAGTTCCATAACTTGTCCTCAAGTTATGGAATGTGAAAAGTCACACCATTCACGGAACACTAATTTTCATAAGTTATGAAATACCAACAGTCATGAAAAGATCATAACTTGTCCTTTAGTTATGTAGTTGGAAATGTCTCATTTATGCAACTTTAAAATTCATAAGTTATGAATTTCAAAAGTCTTGACAAGTTACAAAACTTGTCCTCAAGTTTTGGAACTTGAAAAGTTACATTAATGAAATTTCAGTTCCAAACCCTAGAGTTTTAAAAGTTAAAATTCAACCCTTATACTATTAAAATATTAAAAGTTAATACTTATATATATATATATATATATATATATATATATATATATATATATATATATATATATATATATAAGAACAAGTTAGTCTTACCGTTAGTAGGCCTCATTCATGAAGCCGGTCTATAAGGGGCGGTATAACGTTAATGCCTGTAAAATGGTGGTTTAATGGGTGTCCATTCTCACCCACTACTTCCTTGACTTGTGGAGAGTCATTAGCCGAACGGGTAGGATAGGACCTTAATTATCCATCATTAAAAGTATAATGATAAAATTATAAAGAAACTAAACGTTTTATTAAATTCCCAATCTTAGTTACTTTAGGAAAAATGTGAAAATGGTGCTAATCCATGAAATTGCATTTTGCACCTTGTTAAGTTGTTAGTGGAGCGTGTGTGGCTAACCGACACACTAATATGGGACTGACAATGTGTGGCAAAGGGTAACTTGATGTTAATCATAGATCAATGGAGCGTGTGTGGTTAACCGGCACATTGATTAGTTGACCTGTAACATTGGGTGTACCAAGCTAATTTGCATCATTATTCACACCTTGTTTGTGATCCTCGGCATTCCAGTCACAAACTTGAAGGGCACACCAAGATTTAAACTTTCCATTGAAAAGTTCAATGAATCTCAAAGATCTAGGAATTTCAAAATAATTAAAACTTTTTCGTTTTTCATGGTGGAAATTGGTAAATCGTCATTTACCTACCTTCAAATATTTTACAATTGGATTACAGCATCCCTCTTCGCAATTGTAAAATATTGTGTTGGGTCTTAGCCTTAATATTTTGCTTTGGATGTTATATTAAATACTTAAATCAACTAACTTGAATTTCTCCCATTATAGATGTCTAGGTCAGATAACTATGGTCTTCCTGAATCTATTGGAAAAAGCTTTCCACATGAAGATGATATCCCATAATATCATACTTCACTTCCTACACCACCTCCAGTTATTCTCCCAACCCACAAGCTCAAAAACATGAAAAGTTCAAGGTCACTCAAGCCCTACTTGCAATGAAACATCAAGATGGAAAGTCTATATATGCTAATGTCTTGGACATGAAGCTGCATATTGACAGACTTGGAATATTGGTGTCGTGTTCCCGAGGAAGATAGCTATTGACTTGGTTCTTCAGTCACTTCCCAAGTCATATAGTGAGCTCGTTAAAGACTACTATGTGACAAATCACAACATGAACCTTATTGATCTTGCCTATTTGCTAATTGCTACTGAATCAACAATGATTGAGCATAATGATCAAGCAAACATGATTGGAAGATCTACTTCCCAAGCTGCCATGAACATAGGCAATGACATCAATAGTCCAAAAATGATTCCTTATCCTAAAGGATAGGAATTGGTCATGGTCAAAAGCTTGGATCACAAGAGAAAGGATGGCTCTAGGATTGTCTCACGTTCCAATGCAAAAGAATCCATTTGTTTCTACTGCCATTTGAAGGGACATTAGAAGGGAAGCTGCCTAGACTACTTGAAAGGTTTAAGAGAAAGTAGAATCAAAATGTTTGGCTCTGCTTCAGGTAAGCCAACTATCTAACTCTATTAAGTTCCTATTGCTACATTCTTAATACATGATCTGATAAGATTACATTTTGATATTTTTAGGATCAAAGGAAGCTTAAAGGAAAGGCATGCAAATTCTAATCGCGAAAAGATGAATTTCGATCGCATGGTTCGATGATTGTTTTTTTTAGTTGATGCTAGGAGTTGTGATAGATTGCTTAGAAATTTGTAATAGCATAGTTTCCATTTTTAAATGTATTGTAAGGAAAGGTTTTTCCGCACATTTTTATAAATAAAGAAAAATTTGAATTTTATCTTGTTTTATATCTCCTTACAATGGCATATATGAAAATTGATGTTTGTAATTTTTAAGCAATGTGTATTTGATTATTTCGTTTGTGGTAGTGTCTAAATTTACCAAATAAGAAAATATTGTCATCACCCAAGTTTCAAGTGGACAGAAACTTGGATCATGCAACTTGTATTGTATGATGAATGAGAATTTTCATCTTTGAGAAATTAAGGCTAACTCCTTGTTCACATGTAATTATGAGTCAAGTGAAGGACTAAGGGATTGAGTACATATTCTTATGAACCGGTCAAGTGCACCGCAAAGAATGATAAGATTATTCATTATGGTTTACTAAAGTTAGTAAATATGGTCATGCTTACAAGATTAGGTATAATTTTAGGTCATTGAAAAGTCTCAATGTATAGATGAACGAATAAGAAGAATCAATGTTTCTCCAATCTGAAAAGACGGGAGAGTACTTGAGTATCGTGTTTTATAATCATCTTAATGATTATGGAAACCATATCACAATTTAATCCTCTAAGGACACCTTAGTGCATTTGTTTGGCTAAGAAGAGGAATCAGGAATTGTTAAAATTGTTAAATCAGTTAAGATGAATCATACTTCATTCCAAAATTAAATCTTAGAGTCATATTCCAAGATTGTATACTGAGTAACAAATCAACAACTGTAGAGTAAAATGTTTTCTACTCTTGTACATTTGAAATTGGTAAGTTGTAATGTTTTGGATAAAACAAAGATCAACTAATTCCGATTGTCAAAAGTGTTTATCTTGATAAGAACCGGGTTAACTCTTGTATATTTGGTTGTCAAGGAATGTTTCATGACAAAGAGAATCCTATATGTCAAGAGGTCAGTGGGAGTCTTAAATTGTTGGATTAGATGTCTAAGCCCATAACTATTATTGGTATGTACTCGACCCGAGAGTAGCATGGTCCATTTGGGTTGCATATCATCAGGACAATTTTTTAGGATATAATTTTTTGAGAAGAGGTTATATATGATTTATTAATATATTATAAGTTATAATATATTAATATTAAATCATATAAGTTAATTAGTATTGATCAAGAATTAATTTGGAATTAATTTAGTGATCAAAAGAGGCTACTTAAATCTATGGGGACTGAAACACCGTAAATTTCGAAAACAATTTTTCGCAATTCTAAAAACATAATTCATTTGTAAATCATAAAAACATCATTGTTTAATACTCAATTTATAACATATAAAAATCCCAAGATCTCTTAGTATAAAAATCCCGTGTGTGTACTTATCAAGTCGACGCCTTCCCGCGATCCTCGCTAGTACCTGAAACACATAACACAAAACACTGTAAGCACAAAGCTTATTGAGTTCCACAAAATACCACATATAACACATATTAGCCACTCGAGGCTATAACTTTGTGGGTCCGTGCACCCAAACTCTGTGAATCCTCAGGTTCTAACTCCGCA